TAATTATTCATAATAATACAAGAATAAACTCTGTTTCCAGTACTCACAACTGTAAACCTACTTTGCCCCACCCTGTACATATTAAGAAAATTTAGAAAGTGAAGTGTGCCAAGTTATTATTTTAAATTCAGGTTAAAGATAAAACTTAGAGAAATAACTAACACAAACCATACTAGGCTTTCCTAATGAGAGAGGAAGCATTTGTCCAATCAAACTTGAGCCAGCTGTGAGAGAGAGGAATCTTCCCCTTTATCTTTGACTGTTGGTACTTAGGGACTGTCACTTCCTTACTCTGTCGTTCTTTGCTTTCTGATTCCACTTGAATCTTTTTCTGTGTTACTTACTATTTTTAAGGTCCATATTCCTCAAGTAGGGAAGTTTATGATAAGGAGAACTGTGGTAGTTCCTCAAAAGAATTGAGTTGCTGAGTTTAGAAACTACAATAACTATTTTTACCCATAACCTTACCTGTTTAGTGTGTAAAAGTATTTTCTCATTTAACATTGAGTCTCTGAATTTCACTGGATTATAGGGCTCAAGTTCTAGCCTTCCTATGCAACTTTTCTCAAAATTATAGATTTAACTTAATTTTCCATTAAGGTATTTTAATAGATGATCTTGATTAACTTCCCTTTTCCATAATACCTGTGGAAGTAGATATTTTGTATTACCCAAAAGATACCATATTAACAATAAATATATCTGTATTATAAACCCAAATGAAGTAGTTATGAAATTTTAAAATGTTTACTGTGTCCTTCTTTTTTTTAACTTGGGTACTTCTATTTTGATGTAATTTTAAACCTATGAAAAATTTTCAGGAGTGCAGGAAACTCCCATATACTCTTTACCTAGATTCAACATTTGTATGTAGATATTTTGCCCCATTTGTTTTATCATATATATATATTTTTTTATCCTCACCCGAGGACATTTTTCCATTTTTTGTACAGACAGAGTGGGAGGGAGAGAGAGGAAGAGAGAAAGAGGGAAACATCGATGTGAAAGGGACACATCGAGTGGCTGCCACCCGCACGACCAACCAGGGCCGGGGACAAACTGCAACCGAGGTACATGCCCTTAGCGGGAACCGAACCTGGGTCTCTCCGGACCGCAGGTGGACGCTCTAACCGCTGAGCCAAACTGGCCAGGGCTGTTTTATCACATTTTATCTACCTTTACACACATAGCTTTTTTCTTGACTCCTTTGAGAGTAAGTTGGAAACATCATGTCCCTATATCCCTAAATATTTGTATAAATTTTCTAAGAATAAGAATATTTTCTTTTATAACCACAGTAAAATTACCAAAATCAGGGAATTTAACATTAATATGATTCTGTTAATATAATCCATAATTCATATTCAAATATTATCAATTCTTCCAATAATGTCCTTTATGGCTGTTACCCCCTACTCCCAGTTCAGGATCCAGTTTATGCAATGCTTTTTTTATTTTTAATTAATTTATTTTTGTTACAGATGTTTCTCCTTTTCCCCCCACTGGTTTTCTCCCCCTCCCCGCCCTGTCCCCAGCTTTGTTGTCCATGTCCATTGTTCATGCATACATGCATATAAGTTCTGTGGTTTATCTCTCCCCCACCACCCCCTCTTCTGGGGATTGTCAGTCTGTACCCCACTTCCACGTCTCTGGGACTACCCCGTTCCTCAGACTGTTATGTTCATTATATTCCACAAATAAGTGAGATCATATAATACTTGTCTTTCTCTGTTTGGCTTGTTTCACTTAGGATGATACTTTCCAGGTCCCTCCATGTAGTCTCAAAGGATAAGAGATCTTTCTTTCTTATAGCTGCGTAGTACTCCATTGTGTTTATGTACCACAGCTTTTTTATCCATTCGTCTACTGGTGGACACTTGGGCTGTTTGCAGATCTTAGCTATTGTAAATAGTGCTGCTACAAACATGGGGGTACATATATTCTTTCTGATTGGTGTTTCAGGCTTCTTAGGGTGCAATGCTTTTAATTATCTTGAATGGCAACAGTTCCATAGCCTTTCTTTTATTTTCTTGACTTTGACATTTTTGAAGCAAGGAGTACAGTTATTTTGTAGGTCTTTAGTTAGAGGTTAGATTTGGGACGTGATGTTGCTTGTGATTAGATTAGGTTATGTTTTTTTTTTTTGTTTTTTTTCCAGAAATATTGTGACTGATGTTGTATTCATTACAGTCCATCATATCAGGAGGCATATAATGTTAGTTTATTCCAGTATTGGTATTCATTTATTCATTCTCTTTGATGTACAACTTGCTTTCCTTAAGCCTAACACTCACAGAAAATACTTCTAGAATTGTTAACCCATAACACTAGATAAGCAAATGCAAACCTACTAACTAGAATTCAGTATTGCTTACAGTATTTTAAGGTAAAATTTAATTTTGGCAAAATATGTAAATCTTAAGGGAACAGTTGGATGAGATTTGACAAATACACTCACATTCATATCCCTACCAAGACTTAGAAAGCTTCCATCATTCAGAAGGCTTCCTGGTGACTCTTTCTTGTTAATACTGCCTGCCACCGACAACTGTTTTTCTAATTTTTTCTCCCAAGTTACCCATTATTACGCCACATCCCCCCATTCCCTCTGGTAACTACCATATTATTGTCTGTGTCTATGAGTTTTTGTTTCTTTTCTTGTTTATTTGTTGCTTTCAGTTTTATATCCCACATATGAGTGAAATCATGTGGTTCTTAATGTTTTCTGATTAATTTTGCCTAGTATGATATTCTCAAGATCCATCCATGTTGTTGTAAAGGGCAATATTTCATCTTATGGCTGAGTAGTATTCCATTGTATATATGTACCATATCTTCTTAACCCAATCATCTATCAGAGGACACTTTAGTTGTTTCCATGTCTTTGCCACCATGAACAGTGCTGCAATGAACATAGGGGTGCATATATCTTTGTCAATAAATGTTTTCTAATTTTTTGGGTAGATACCTGGAAGATGAGTTGCTGGGTCATATGTTAACCCTATTCTTAATTGTTTTAGGAACTTCCATACTATTTTCCATAGTGGCAGAGGACCTAAACTGACACATCTCCCAGGAATACATACAAGTGGTCAACAGATAAATGAAAAGATGCTCATCTTCACTAGCTATTAGGGAAGTGCAAATCAAAACTACAATAAGATACCACCTCACACCTGTTAGAATGGCTGTTGTCAACAAGACAAGCTATAACAAGTGTTGGAGAGGTTGGAGAAAAAAAGGAACCCTCATTCACTGCTAGTGGTGATAAACTGGTACAGCCACTATGATTTTCTTAATGCCTTCTGTTGAGCAGAATCTTTCCATTTTTATGAATTCATATTAATGTTTTTCTATCATGGTTATTGCTTTCTATGTTCTGAGAAATTTTGCCTACCCTCAGTTCACAAAAATATTCTCTTCTGTATTCTTTAACGACCTTTACTGTCTTATATTTTTCATTTAGATTTATTTTACATCACAGATTAATTTTTGTGGATGATTCAGTGTGCCATAATAGAGACTAGAGCTTAATGTATATTGTTTTTTTTTTTAACAAGAAAAATATTATGATTATAAGTTACTCTAATTTGATATATTACGCTTTTCTTTGAATTTTTTTTTTCTTTATTGATTTTAGAGAGAGAGGAAGGAAGAGGGAGAGAGAGATAGAAACATTAATGAGAGAGAATATTGGCCACCTCCTGCATGCCCCCCACTGGGGATTTGGCCCACAACCTGGGTATGTGCCCTGACCAGGAATCGAACCGGCAACCTCCTGGTGCATGGGTCAATGCTCAACCACTGAGCAACACCAGCTGGGCTGATATATTGTGCTTTTGGAAAAGCTGAGTATTTCAACATTAATTTAATATAGAAATGTGTAAGTTTACAGACTAAGCAAATGAAAATGAGTTTATTGCTTTATGATAATGAGAATAATTAGAACATTTTAACATGTTTAAAAGAATAGGTATATTACTAAATTTACCGTTTCTACATTAATAAGAGAGACTTTGTGAGAACTTTTTGACTGTACCCAATATACAAATAAATGGATAGTTTTTAAGTTTTATAGATGAAATCATCATTTTTTATTTAACTTGCAAAGAGATTTGATTGCCATGTTATATCTCTTTTATTGTTGGTCTACAGTCTGTCAGGCTTTCCATTTGAAACCCCTATTTTCAGGAGTTTATGAGCAGACAGTTGAAAAAAAATTAACCAACCAAAATCTTGGCATTCATGCTCTTGGTTCAATAGAAGGTACTTACTTTAACAAAATTTTAAATAGTCAGCTTTTTGTAAAATTGTAAGCAGCACAAAGAGGAATAAAGGAATTTCTTTGGTTAAATAAATAGGGAATAGTTTTCCAGACAACTTACCCCAATTCGATTTACAAAGCAAACTTTTCCCTTCTAGAAATCATTTAAGTATGTACGGTCCTGTGTTCCAGAGGCCACAAGTTCTTGCCTCAAGACATTTTCCCCCTTGCTATCTTTCCTAGCAAATATCCTTTATCCCTGTTCTCTTTTTATCCATTATGGTTTTTTAAAAATTCTCCACAATATATTTACAATAAAAATGGCTTTAAATGTTGGCATTTTTTGTGTCCTTTTTCCTCCACTTTGCAGTGTCTAATCAAGCAAAACTACCTATTGATTGCAAAACAATATTAACTTGGAGAGAAGTGTTATAAATAGCAATGTTTTTCTTGAAATTAAATTTCTGAAATCCAGACTTTAAAAATTGTTCTGAAGAGCTGTCACTTAAAAAGCTGGCTTTTAGGCAGGTTTTCTTTCTTTTTTTTTCCTTCCGGAAAGTGTGGATGTCAGCCCGAATACTTTCACATTCTGTTTTTAACCTACTATCATTTGCATGGTGAACACTTAACTACTATTGGTCCATAAAGGTGTCTGTGGGTTTTTTGTTACTTTTATTTCACTTCTTATTTTTTAAAAAAACCATTTCCTGAAAACCTAGTACAGACATGTAACCTACAGAAGGAAGCAAGATGATCTGGAAATCTTTACTTTTGCTGTACTCTGAAGCTAATTTGCTTCAGGCTAGAGATTTTGGGTGCTGCTGAAATTTTGGTGATCTGGGAAAATAGGGTAATAGAATAACATGACACCAGATCTTAAGCAGCAACATCTGCTGTGGTTCAAAGCCACACAAAGAAAGCTACTTAAGCAGTTGAATGTTTTGGACTGCACGGACAAGTGCGGTTCAACTGCAAAGACTGCAGAGTAGAGGGAACTTACAGCTTAGAGAAGTTGTTTAAAAATGGAGTCCTGGAAGATGAGCATCTTTAAGAGACAAGCATCACCTTGTCCTCCAAGCTATCGAAGATCTTTATCAGAACCTGCTTATGCAAATTCAGAGATAGGAACAAGTTTAAAGAGTTATCCATGGTGTGGTCCAGTGAAAAGCAAGAGGAAGAAAAACGAACATGTTTCCAATTTAGGAAAGCCATTGAGTGCTTATCGGTGGCAAACACATCCCAGCCTTAGGTGCAAAGGGTGCAAGAAAGAGAGTATGCAAAATAATACAGGAGATTTGGATGAAACACAACAAAACGTCCTGCCAAAGATGGTTGAAAATGATGCTCCTGCTTCTGCTGATGAGGTCCTTGGAACATCAACAGAGAAGCTGAACCTGGCCAACACCCGGTCACTTCGGGTTCCATTCACCAGATCTATTTCAGAGCCAGAACCCCGCTGCAGTATCAGATTTGTTAGACCATGGTCAACTTCAGTAAGGTCGGTGGAGTCTGAGCAGCAGGGATATTTCATCCGTGGCATTTTCTCTACTCTTTCCAATGGCTTCTCCAGGATGCTGAGTCTAAAAGGAGAATCAACCAATGAGCCAGTAAGAGAAGGTATATTGTAATGCATAAGGGGAAAGAATGGGATGTCTTTTGAATTTTAATTATTTGTGTTTACAATAAGCTAAACTATACTATTTGCTCATTGTAAGTCAAATTTATGTAATTAATACCCTTTTTAAAAAGTGATAAACACTACTTCAGAGACCTTCTGTTTCAATGAATAATAATAAATAATAGTAAAATATGGATTTAGTTCAATTAAATAATTTTTATATTATGTTATACTCTCGAACTCTATTTTGGAGCCTATTTAAAAATGTTTTATTTTTTAACCCTTAAGTTTTCCAAATTAAATGCAATTTAGAGTGAGAAATAATTGAATAATTTCCTCATGACAGAGTTGGGAATTAAAAAACAGAATTTTTACAGTTATCTCTTTATAAAAATTAACAAATGTTATTAGAGAGAACTATTTACAGCAGAATTGTTTTTAAAAAGTTGAAATTTTAATTTGCATATGTCATAACCAAACAATTTGCATTTGGAAGTGGAAGATGCAAGTCTTGAATATGTTCAGATGGCAAAATTGAAATTCGTGTTTGATCATTTCAGAAACAGAATTATCAAAACCTTATTAGAACTTGTTTAAATTTAAAAAGCTTTTATGTTGATGGTAGCATTGTTAAAACAAAAAAAATAAAATAAAATCTTTACATTTTTATCTGATGGCCTTGGAAATGACTGACCTAATCTGATGAGTTATTTCAGTTCTCTGTTTGTTCAGTTTTTGTTTTTGAAAATGTTTACACTGAAGCTTTGATATTATCTTCATCCAGTTGAGATCATTTTTGGACAAGCTGTGACTATTAGAAAATTTCAGCTTATCTTTATTATGAGATTGACCACATCAGCAGGACTTGAAACTCTAAAATTATGTGAATTAAGGAATTTTGTTATTGGAGTGCAATTTAATTTCTTTTAAAATAAAGTTTGAGAATGCAAAAGGGTGAAGAATTAAGTAATTTTCCAAATGTATATGTGCCAGTAATTCATTATTTCACCTAAACTCTGTCTTCTCTAGATTTTTCTTGGCTCAGTGAATTTTAATGATACTATTAAGTATTTCTGTTTTCTTTTTATCCATGGCTTATAAATAATTAGCAAGAGTAAAATCTTTCTTGATGAGCCTTTATTAACATTCCATTAACATTTTTGAAAGATTAAGTTTGTTGCATTTCCTTGGATGCTAGTATATCTGTTTCAATCATAGGCTGATGTAAAGGAACATCAAAAGAAATTAAATGTTTAAAATAAATTCTTTTAAAAAATTTATTATTTAGTTCAACCTGTGTGCCTCAGTGGTTGAGCGTCAACCCATGCACCAAGAGGTTGCCAGTTCGATTTCCGGTCAGGGCATATGCCCTGGTTGTGGGCCTTATCCCCAGTGGGGGGTATGCAGGAGGTGGCCAGTCAGTGTTCTCACTCATTGATGTTTTTGTTTTTCCCTCTCACTTCCTCTCTCTCTAAAATCAATAAGGGAAAAAAAATTTTTTTTTTTAATTTGTTGTTTATATTTATTTATTTATTTTTTGCCATCACCATTTATCCCCTCCGTGCCCTCTTCACTTCACCTCCACCCACTCCCCTGCCCTGCCACAGAATCAGTGCCACTCAACAGTTAACATGTGTGCATTTGATAAAAAAAAATCTGTGAGTGTTTTTGTTTTTTTTTTGTTAATCCTCACCCAAGGATATTTTTCCATTAATGTTTAGATAGAGTGGAAGGGAAGGAGGGAGAGAGAGAGAGAGAGAGAGAGAGAAACATCAATGTGAGAGAGACACATCAATCAGCTGCCTCCCACACAACCCCCACTGGGGCTGGGGATCAAACCCACAACCAAGGTATGTGCCCTTGATCGGGAATGGAACCTTCAACCCTTCAGTCCATGGGCCAATGTTTGAACTGCTGAGCCAAACCGGCCAGAGTGAAAGCTGTAGGTTTTTAAAAAGTATTTGTGTCTATAAACATTTTTGGACTTTTGTAGGTAACTTTCAGTTTTTAGTAAGTATGCCAAGCTGTTGACCATGTGTGAGGTGTTTTGAGAATGTGTAGCTGCTTTTTACAATTTTGGTCTTCTTAAGGAGATATAAAATATTCTGCATTTATTACTTCCTAATACCTTATTCATTCTTATCATGGAATAATTATGCATGTGGAAGCTTCTACAAAGTTTAAGGTAATATTATAAGGGATTTTAAGTTCAGTAAAAACAGTATATAGTATTGCTACCAGTTAGATCAGCAATTTTTAGTAAACATTTACTATATCTCCTAATGCGTCACCATTGGAGAGTCAAGCTCTTTAGCTTGAACTGTAATTTTTTTTTTTTTTACTAAATTTTTTTGTTTGTTTATTGATTTTAGAGGAGGGAGAAGGAGAGAGAGAGAGAGAAACATCAATGAGAGAGAACATCCTGCATGCTCCCCACTGGGGATTGGGCCCACAACCTGGTCATGTGCTCTGACCAGGAATCGAACTGGTGACCTCTTGGTGCATGAGTTTATGCTCAATCACTGAGCCACACTGGCCGGGCTGAACTGTACTTTTTAATACAAAGATTGTAGCTACTTTTTGTCAAGAGATTGCTTTTCCTCTTTGGGTAGTAGCTTGTACCCAGCATAGAGTCTGTGTCAGTGATTTTCTAACCTTCAGTTGTGAATCTTTCTTCATTTCTCTTCTCCTACAAGGGAAAGAGTATGAGTAGCTTAGGAGACCTGAATTCTACTTCCATCTTTGCCAGTTACCATATGTGAAATTTAATCTCTGAATTTTTCTTTACACTTTTGTGGAATAGTAATTCCTTCTTTTCAAGTGATAAATGAAATTTGAAAATGCTAAGTAAGTTATAGTTTACATAACATTTATTCACAAATTCTATGTGAATAAAAAGGGTTCTTACCAGAGTTGCTATTACAGTATTGTGGTCTTTAAGTCTGTGTTAAGAAAATCAATATATTTATTAATTTGAAACCTACTAGTGTTTGTTACTTTCCTTCTTCTGTATGAATTGCAAGATGTGAGAGGCATTAAATAATGTAGTAGGTATTTAAAGCATTTAAAACAGTGTTTGGCACATAGCAGTTCTATATATATGTATGTATATATATATAGTTTTTATTAAGAAAGTGAACTTACATGGGTACAGTTACTTTTTTTAAATAAGGTAAAAGAAGGTAACTGGTAGGTGTGTTTGTTATAATTACTGAATGTAAATAAATTGTAATGTTTTAGTCTTAAATTCTGTGAACTCAAACTTGTTTTGAGCATGTACATGTTTTGAGCATAAACAAATAACAATTTCTTATTTCATAGCTGAACACAATGACCCTCAAGCTTAAAGCAATGAAATATACTATACTCAGGGTCCCTAACCAATTTAAGAGGGAGAAGAACCTCAGTGACTTCACTACTACTCTGTGTTCAATTTTTCAGTTGTACGATATGTATTCCTTCATCTGATATAATGTGTAGTTCCAGATATAATATTAAAAAATTAAACATTCCTCTTATAGCTAAATGTAATTCCAGCTGCATAGGGTCCGTGGCTAAGCATGGAGCCAACATGCTTGCAATAGGGGAAATAAATGGAAATATCCATTAAGAGAGAAATAACTAAACATTATAGCATATCAGATCAACAAAATTCCATATAGTCTACATAGTTGCCACTTACCAACTGTGTGAAATTTAGGAGAAACTATAAAATTATAAAGATGTGTGTGTGGCCCTGGCCGGTTTGGCTCAGCGGTTAGAGCATCGGCCTGCGGTCCCGAGAGACCCGGGTTCGGTTCCCGCTAAGGGCACGTGCCTCGGTTGCAGTTTGTCCCCGGCCCTGGTTGGTCGTGCGGGTGGCGGCCACTCGATGTGTCCCTTCATGTCGATGTTTCTCTCTCTCTCTCTTCCTCTCTTTCCCTCCCTCTCTGTCTGAACAAAAAAAAAATGTCCTCGGGTGAGGATGAAAAAAAAAAAAAAAGTGTGTGTGTGTGTGTGTATGTGTATAAAATGTGTGTAATGCCCAGCTGGAGTGGCTCAGTGGTTGAGCATCAACCCATACACCAGGAGGTTGCTGGTTTGATTCCGGTCAGGGCACGTGCCCCTGTTGCGGGCCTGATCCCCAGTGGGGGCATGTAGGAGGCAGCCAATCAATGTTCTCTCTCATCGATGTTTCTCTCTCTCTCTCTCTCTCTCACACACACACACACACACACACACACACATCAATAAAGAAAAATAAATAAAATGTGTATAACACTTAGAAAGTAGAAATTACTGGGAGGCAATTTTATTCCTAAATTATTTTTCTTCCTCTGTTAGTTTCTATAGATAGGAATGAAAGCTTAAAAAAGTAAGAAAGTAGTGTTGAATACAAACTGTAATGGAAAAATAAAATAAAAAGAAAATTAAATATACTTTAGGTAGTTCTCCTTTCTGATTATAGTTTATACTTTCTCTGTATAATTTCATAGTAATAAGAATATCCTCTTTCCTCAGTGTTAGTTATGTTTTTAAGGACCCCCTAACTTGGGAATTATAATACTTCATTTTTTTCTTCTCGATAATTTTTAAATATTCTGTCAGTTTTTAACAACTACAAAATCTTATTGAAAAGGACCGTATACATTAACTCAATAATTGCTTATTGAGTTTCTTAGACACTGTTCTTGGTGCTGAGAACATGGCACATTTTTCATTAATGTGCAGCTTCTTTATTTATTCTAAGGTATCAGTAACCATTTTAGAAAAAAAAAATAAAGTCATCTAGGTTCACAAGATGTACATATAATAAACAGTGGTAAGGTGTATGTAGTATAAGAATTTAGCACCTCAGATCTTTTCTATAATTGGGCCTTCTGTTTTTTAAATATTATAATCAATTAATGAGAGATGTCTCTACAAATTCAGAGAAATATTTTCTTCCTGCTATTTCTCTTAAGAATCTCTGTATACACCTACCCAGCTAACATCTTGTCACCCATCTGTTGCATCTAAG